GCTTCCCTATATCAGTGAGTAATCTCCACCGCCCAATGACGATCCAATAATTCCTTTATTCCCCTTAATGTACTGGCATGCGGCCTGTAATGCTTGTCGTGGTAAACCATATCAATAATGCTCTTATTATCAACCTCAACTTTAATCTTTCGAACTTCGATATCCCAGGCCGGACATAGGCTCTGAAATAAGCCCCAAAGTTCCACTCCAACGATGGAGCAAAAATCGATATTCATAAAAAAACCGGACACCCAATTCCCATGATGGTCTCTCACGCCGCCGCCAACACTAGCCATCCTTGTCGACGGATCAAAGCTCCCGTCCGTATTGACCTTCAACTCATCCATCGTCGAGCCCGACCACGAAATCCAACGCATATCCCGTGCACCACTCATCCCCACTTTCTTGCTACCATCCAAGGCGCATCTCACCATGTCCACATAAGAGAACACCTCGCCCAGACGTTGTGACAGGCTAATGTCAGAACCTTTAAATAATTTCACATTCCTCCACCGGCATAGATGCCACGCCGTGAGCCTGAACAAAGACTCCCAGTCCTCTCGAGCACCGCTTAAGCTACTTGCCAAAATTTTCCAAAAACCACTCTCGAATATCCATTGAGAAGAAAAGTAGCCAAAGTCGGCTGGGAACCAGCCTCTTCCAAGCAGGGGCGGATATAGAAATTTGCATGAGTGGGGGTCTAAGTTGTTTATGTAACTAACTGCGCGAATCATAAAATGAAATTATAGGTTGCTTATGCCTTGTCACGCGTGACTGCGTGAGTGGAAAAAGTATTTTTTATATTTTTGTCTTATACTCTTATTATTTTATTGCTTAACATTGGAGTGGGAGAAAATTTTCTTTTTCTACATTTTTATCTTATTATTTTATTGCTTAATATATATATGGTTGGACCAATCTTTCAAAAAATAAGTAAACTATATTTAATATTTATAAATATTATATATTTTAAAATATCAATAAATTAAATAACTTAAAAAATAAGTTAACTATATTTATGAAATATTATATATATTTAAAAATATCAATAAACTGAATAACGGTCTAACCGGTTCAACCACTGGTCGGACCAGTGAATCATTGAACCAGTAGATTGACCGATTCGATGACCGATCCGGTTTTCAGAACATTGATGAAAACATGAACCAGTACATGGTACATATATCGCTATAGCCACACTCCATAGAACAAGATCAAAATCACACACTTTTCAAAACCAATAAATGAAAAAGAAGAAGAACT